GTGGGAGTTCGCTAATGTCGACCACTTTTAACCACTAGTTTTCAGTGGTTCGACATCAATTTCAACACATTAACCATTTGTTGTGCTTAATCATTAGTATTCCTAACTTTTTTTCTTTGTACGCCAACAAGTTTGTTTTTCGAGTCTTCCTCCCTTCATTCCTTTCACTACCATGTTATTTAATTTCCCATTTCATATAGTTTGTTGCTTATACCTAGCTTAGGCTAGCAATACTAAAATGGTATGGCTTGGATTGGCTTTTTAAAGAGTCTAAGATATGAAAATTTATGTCTTAGTTGACTTTAAATTGCTTAACTAAAAGTAGCTCATCATGGCTTAGGATGGTATAAATGTAGTTTAATAAGTTTATTTCACTTGATTATTTAAATTTATAATAATTTAATTTTTCGTCATCTTTAATAGGTGGGATAACTATGCTTGAGTAAGCATGGCTTGGCAAGACATAAACAGCTTTGTTAAGCTAGGCTTTAGATTTGTTAATCTAGGCTTTACCTAAGCTAGTTCTTCTTGAAATTATCATGTCACAACAAAGTTTTGCATTATTGTCTTAGTCTCTTTTTCGTTTTTTTGTTAGGTTGCTTTGCTAAGCAAGGATGGGCTTATTGTTGTTGTCTTTGGAATGACATAGTTAATCTTTGCAAGGCTCGGCATGGTTAGAGAAGTTAAATATGGTTGTACTAGGCATATGCATTGTTAAGCTTGGCTTAAAAAGCAACACTATGTTTGGAGTGCTTTGCTTAGCATTATTACTTTACATGGATTAGCTTACTTTGAATAAATATCTATGATTAATGCAACAGTGTGAAAATCATTGTGTCCATGTATAATTAAGATTGTTGAAGATATGTGTTTTAATTTTATATCAATATGCAAACTATTTATTATTATGCTAATAATTTTATATTATTTAAATTAGAATGGACCCTTTAAGAAGTCAACCTATTATTGTGTTCGAAGAAAAGTAGATATAACATGGAATCGTTTCAATGAATTTAAAGGTTGTGATGAAAACAAAATAGTATAAATGCTTGCATTGTGGAACTATATACAAATGTGGAGGCATTAATATAATGAAACAACACCTAGTTGTGGTGAAGGGTATTAAGCATGAGATTATGCCAGACTTGATTGAGATTATTGGAAACAAAGATAAACATTATAAATTATATTGAAGAAGAATGAGGCTAGAATTTTTTGTGACAATTTAGAAAATTTTGAAAAGCCAATAGCTCTGATAATGTCAAAGGAAATGAATCCTGGTACATTTGCATGTTATTTTTTATTACTACTTAGTTGATATATGCACTTGAGGTGCATTTCTTATATATATATATATATATATATATATATATATATATATATATATATTGTTTAGATGAATGGTAGAAGATTTTTTGATTAAATACTTCAAATCTAAAAAAGCGCACTTATAAGGATTTTTAAACAAATTCATATCAAATGAAGTAATCATTTATAGCATCATTGGCTAAATGAATTTGTATATGTTTGATGCAATCCAAACTTAAAGAATAGGTAATATCCTTACTTATTTTTTGAAGAAGAATATATTACATTATTAATCAATACATGTTAGCACAGTTGAAAAAATCTTATATTTACATTTTAGATTGCACACAAGAAAAAAACTAAAGAGTCATTGAATTACAAGAGCTTTGAGATGATAGATTTGTTGGTAGTTGATGAAGAACTTTCTCCTGAACTTGACTATTAATTTAGAGAGTGAAATTTATAGAGAGGATCTTATTTCATCTACTAAGGATCTCAACATAACAACAAATATGTAAACTCAAGGTTAATTTTTTTTTAAATTTGAAAGTTTACATCATTTATTTACTTATATTGCACATCTATAACCCAAAAAAAAAAAAAAAACTTTAAATGTTTAGGTGAAGGAAATTTCAGAGATACTACAATTGAAAATATTGAATGTGATGATTTGGAAATTTGATCCTCGAGGAGGGCTTTTAGACATTATTTGACCTTCAGACTGGTCGAGGACGTTAAACAAAGCATTATCTTAAGACAGAACCCAAGCGTTATTCATATTTTGAGCATGTTTCTGATTTGCATTTGCTTGGAAATTTGCTTTGAGTGTGTTTGGTTGCTTTTCTTAGTAAGAGTTATAGTAGTTTTGGTGGAATCTTTATCTGAGTTGATTGAAATTATAACATTTGGGTTTTTCATGCTAATCCTTTAATGTAAATTGATATTATTTTCTAGATTGTTAGATGTTACACCCGTCGCTTTCTATGTTATGTTGTTTTTGTTGTGATGTGTTTTCTGGTTTAGATTCACTGTTATTGTATGCTAGATTCTTTTCACCTTTCACATGATATAAAATAAGTTTGAGGGATGGAGTTATATGTGTACACTTGTCTGAGAGTAATTAGGTCAAACGGGAGGTTGAATCAAGCCTAAAAATTTTCTGGGATCAATTTTTCATTTTAATAATCCTCGATATCAAATATTTTGTTTGTCTTAGAGTTTTTATCAAATTTTCAAGTTTTACAATTTCTTGTTACTTCTCTCTTTCGATTCGATAATAGTCTTCCAGATGTTATGCAGGGGATTGATTCAGATTATAATTCGTAAGGGTGTTTTTTAGATCCAAAACTCTCCTAATTAACTCCCCTTTTGGCAAATAAGCACTTTACCCATCAGTTGCAAGAAATGGTTCTATATGAGGGGAGACAGAGTTTTCTAAGTCTTTGACCAGCTTTTTCAGGCTCAAGATCCAACTCTACAAGACTACTCTCCTTTATAGGGCTATCTAACAACTTCTTCTTTTCGCTAAGTCTCACATCTTGCACTTGTTTTTTATACCCATTTTTAAGATTCACTTCAGTGTTACCAGGTAGCGTCCCTCAGGGTCCATTACAAAAAATATTAGCTAAATGATCAAATTCATTCTCTATAATTTGCATTATTGCAACTTGGCTTCATAATTGATTCCTCATATTTACAACAAATTCTTCCAAAGACAGATTTTTTCTACCTAAATTGGGGATTATAAGTGAATCCAAATGGGTGAGTCATTCTAATGTTGTCACTGTTTGGTTGTTCCAATTTTCTACAGGATTGGTTTGGGTGCTCCCCCACTGTTTGTTTCTTCCAATTGAAGTTTGAGTAGTTTATCTAGCCTAAGTTGTAGGTGTTGGAATAGAGATAATTGAACCAAGTTTGTATTGCATCCAAGTAAATGGTGTTGGAATCACCTAGCAAGGATCCTGACACTAAATTCATTACAAAGTTGTATACTCTCCTCAAAATATTAGGAGTTTGTGAGGCTATGATAGTCAGCACATTAGTCATATGCACACTATCTTCTTAGGGATGACTTTCTTAGGTGGCCATTGAAACTTGTTTGTGAACATTTCTCGATCAGTGAGTAAGCCTCCTGAAATGATTTAGACATAAGGGACACCCTAGTTGCAACATTTATAATTAATCTTAAAGAACCCATCGACCCATTTTAAAAGTTTGGATAATCAGTCAGTTAAGTAAGGCATATTGTGGGCATTCATTAAGTAATTCTTTGAACCTCTCCCAAGCTTCATACATGTTCTCTCCATCTAATTAGATAAAGAACATAATGTTTTTCCTATGGTTGACTGTCTTGAATGAAAGAATTTTCATTAGGTTGCTCCAAGTTGTGATCAATCCTAGTGTGAAGTAGTATAACCACCTTTTGGCTTTATTCATAAATGAGAAAGGGAATAACCTTAATCTTAACAATATCACTGTAGGTATCGTTAACCATAAAGGTGGCACACAATTCTAAGAAACTAGATAAATGGAGGTATGGATCTTTTGTGGGTGATCCCCCAAACTAGCTGGTTTGAATCATTAGGATAAGCACTGGTTTATGTTCAAGTACAAGTATTTGTATAACGGTGTAATCAATACTCATGTAAATTCATGCCGCCAAGTAGTTTAAGATGTTTTCTTCTCGAGGATTTGTCATTTCTAAGTGTTGGACTTTTTAAAAAAAAAAAATAAGAATAATGAAGCTGAAAATAGTAATATAAAAAGAAATAAAATGACAAACTTATTTTAAGCAGTTCAACAAAAATTCTCTAGCAGCGACACCAAAATGTCGAGGCCTAAAATTGTCGTGAAGCAATTAATTACACAAGTATACGTGTTATTCAAGTAATATAAGAATAACAAGTTCAAATATCAATCCTATAAAAAAAAATATTAAAATATTTAAAAAAGGGGAAATTCTAGTTTACTAAATCACTAAGCCTAATCTGAAGATTTAGTTTTCAGGTATGAAGGGTTCTAAAATCCTAACGTAGAATGAATAAAACTAGACTAGGTTTTGTTGAAGTTTTTTGGTGATGAAAAATTTTTACTTCTGTGACATTAGCCTAGTGATTCCTGGATATTTTTCTATGAAATCTCATGCTTTTGTTGACAACTAGGTACACAATTCTCCTTACATAGTCTAGATCATAAGAAGAGTTGAACATCACATAACAATTAAGAGAGACTTAAACATGTAGTGTTTTCCATGGCTACTTAGATTCTCTATCTAGGTTACAATTTTGTAATGCCAATATGTTTCTTCCATTGGACTATTGTGTGTTAACTTGTTTTTCTAGACAACAATTAAAAGTTCTTGTTCACAAGAGATTTTTGACATTTTATCATGTCAAATTCCTAGTAAATTAAGCACAGAAAGTTAACACATCAATATATGAAGTTCAAGCACATAAAAGACATTTAGGGAACAAAATCTATAAGATAAAACAACGAGAAAATTAAATTCGTTACATCATAGAAAACTAGATTAACCATAATGCATAAGTCAAAAAAACATGAAAATTGTTGTTGCAAACATAAAGAGAAAAATAATACAAGTGGAACAAAAAACTCAAACTATAACAAATTAGTCATTGTAGTACACCATGATATTCTCTATTTAATACAAGTTTTATATAGATATCTCTCATACAAGTGCACTCAATTTCTCCTCACAAACTCTCCAAGCTGTCACTGAAAAAACATGTAAAGAGAAAAATAGGAAAAAAAACCCTCTTGAGCGAACCCTAAAGAGAAACCTCAAAGTCCTAAAGACTCTCCTAAACCCTAGAAACAAAGTCCCACAGGACAAGAAGTAACTCTTTGGTCTTCATACATCTCCTTATCTAGATTAGGCTTCCAAACCTGCTAAAAAAGTTTCCAGATAACTCATAAAATTGAGCATTTGATGTTAGAAAAATCATGTAAATTTACATCATATTATATGCCCAACCCATATTTATATAAAGGCTTGGCATCATGATGTTCGAAAGGTGGATCTTATTAATTGTCCCTTCTCGATGAGATTAAAAGACCAAATTTAAGCTTTCCTAGCCTCATACAAGGTTCAAAGTGTCTCATTACATCCATTCGCATTATGTTTAGGTAGAAAGCCATGCCATAGCAGTATGTTGGTTCTGACTCTCTATAATAGATCAATATTTAAGGCTAACTTCATTTGTTGTGGTGTAATAAGTCCTTCCTTCAAGCATAACCTTAATGGTGAGCTCAACATTATCATTAGGAAGTAAACCTCATCTTCTAATAATTAACATGTGTTTAAGTAAGACCATTATATTAAAAATCTTAGATAAAAAACTCAGCCTAATATTTGGCTCTTCAGCATTCTAAGTTTCTTAAGAAGATGTTCCTCTAATATAACTTTATTTGATTTCATGTTGATGCTTATTTTGATCTTTCCTACAATCATAGTTTTAGAATCTCAAATTCCTTTCCTACATTTTTGATATTCTATGAAATTGTCATGACTTGAACCTAGAGTTTTCCTAAAGCTTAACTATTCTAGAATGTTATTAACCATAATAGTTGATGCCCATGAGGTATTTAAACTCCTAAATAGAAAAACTACATATGTTTTTCTATATGCTATGTTGGATAAATCTTTTGGATATATATGAGCTAGCTCCAATGAGCTTTCACCTCATACTCATTTTTCTAATCACACAATAACATTTTTTTATGCATGTCTGATTAAACACTCTTCACAAGAATTTTCATATTTGTTGTACTTATAATATTACACATTCTTCAAATTACCTCAATGACATCATCCACAAAGCCTTAACAGTTCAACTACTCCTGTTTGTGAATTCCTTGGCCTTTCTTCACCACAACATCCATTTTCCTACTAAAGACAACTAAAATTTAGAAGCAATTGATCCACTATAGCACAACTTGCATTTCTTCTACTCATTGAAGCCAAGGCCACTGAAATCTTTGTTCGATAGTGATGATGATGTGCCTTTAGCATAATATTAGAGATCGAAGAAAAATTAAGATTCACACATTTCAAATTTGTAAGTACCCAAAAATTATAACCTTATACTTAGTATGATCTCCTTCAAATTTTGCTTTGAGAATTATAAAGCTAACTCAATTCATGGTGGAGTTAATGACGGTGTTAAGGGTAACTCATACCACCCTTTTAAACTCATTTTGTGCGGACGTTATAAATTTCCCTCCATCTAAATTTTCATAGATAAGGAATAACACCAATGTTACTCATCTACTCCAATAGTTTAAGATCTATGATATATGAAACTTTCCTTTTTGTATTAATTAGTTAAGGAATTTTACATCAAAGATAATATGTTGAAAGCTTCAAAGAGGTGAGCCACATTTTAGACTTGAAAAGGAACCTGATCTCAATTTGGCAGTTCGATGAAAATGATATCTCAATACTTTGTATGTAATAGTAGAAGGTGACTGAGAGTGTTATAGAGACACGCATTATGTGAATTTAAATGTTGAAACAATGAGAGAAACTATGAACTCAAATATATGATATCAAAGGATAAGACATATAGGAGAGAATGGGCAAAGAATAGCATATTCAACCAATAAGCTTTCAAATTTGAAGTCATTGGATTTTGGTTTATATAAGGACTGGCATTGGACATGCTAAGATAGACAATTGCCACTAATTGAAAGGGAAGCAAGACAAAAAGGTTGGAGTTTTAAAATATCGCTATTTGAGGACCATCCCCAATAGCATCCCTTACAGGCTCATCATATTACAATATCATCAATGATAACTTCACTAGGAAGGTATGAGTTTATTTTCTAAAAATAAATCCACATTAAATGGAATGATGATGGAGAATGAGTCTAGTGTGAAGATCAAGTCTCTAAGATCAAATAGCAAAGAATAATATTACAAAATATTTTGCTCGGGTGATAAAAACGAATTAAGAGGAGAAATTTAGCAATACCACAAAACATTTGAACTGCTAAACTCAAGAAGAGAACACAATATAAAAGACTTTGAAGTATAAGGTTAAATGTCGGATTGCTCAAACCTTTTTCCACAGATGATGAGTAAGTATACTTTTCTTAAGATGTGGACTAACAACAAGGTAAATCAAAGTTTTTTGATATATTTGAGATGCGTGTAGAATCTACCAAACAATTAATCATTTGTTATGATTATCGAACTTAGCTTCTAAATTTGGAATAATAAAATTTGAAATTTTTTAGAATACAAATTCTACTTTTAAATGAAATTCTCATGTATAATGGGAGTGGCAATGCAGAAAAAATAGGTCTGATAACAACTAAATGTAGACAGAGACAGGCATACTTGTAGTTGAGTTGAGAAGATTTCAATGATTGTGCAAAGTCAATAGAAAAATACACTACTTCATTGCATTGGCAAATAAATTGTGGTGAACCTAAAGTAGCAATACGGGACAAATACTTCATTAAGTGGGTGCTGCTAAATGACGATTGGGCATTGCGTTAAAAATGGCATTTCAAAAACAAAAAAAAAACACAATATAAAAAAAAAAGTACAAAGGAACCATAACACAATAAAAAAAAAAGCACAAGGGAACCAAGTAATGGTTTTGGAGAAAGAGTACATTTTCTGAAAAAAAAAAAGTCTAATTAAATGAAAGGATTTCATAAAGAATTAGTCAAGTGCAAATATCAAGGCCAATAGATCAAATAACAAAGAAGACTATCCTATCGAGTTCTGCTCAGCTTGCAAAATACATATTAGAGGGCAAATTTATGAACATCACAACAAGAGAACTAGCTCATAAACAGAACTCAAGATGAAAAAGTTTAAAGAAAGCGGTTATATGTTTGGCGCATGAACTTTTTGGGCCAATAATTAGTATTACAATTTATGTGTTCAATAGAGCGCCCCCAATTCCTCCAAGTTTTAAGTTATTTGAAAAAGTACAAACTAGCAAAGCAATAAACATTTCTTATTTGAAGATTTTTGGACATATTTATGATGTGTGTGTAGAATCTATTGAACTTAATTCATTTGTTATAGAATTGATAACATTAGCTTCTAGTTGACAGACAAGTTAACAAAGAGAAAAAAATTACATGCCATGTTAGAGCATTAATTCAAAAAGCTAACCAAAACTCAATAAGCACAGCAACGCATATAATTTCCTGTCTTTTAACAATATATAACCATAGTTCCAAAAGAAAGATTCTTACAAGCCATGTTGCACCATTGCATTAACCACCTAAAAAGAACTGCATATCTGTGAAAATAGCAACATGTCAAAGAATTCATTAAAATATTCCAGACGCACAAAACAAAATTAGAACAACAGAATAAAACAGCCCTAACTAAGCATTCTGCAGCCAAATCTGGCATCATTCCAGCACTTTGAATTCTTAAATAGTGTGGGTTGCATTAATTTGAATTAGCTAGCTTCAAATTGCGAAAAAAAAAAACGATGTGCATGCAAATTGTCACTTCAGTTAACATACTGCGCTGAACATAAGAAGATGCGTAGCAGCAGTAAGAATTTATGCAAATATAATTCAGAAAACTAATGCATCTCATTACAAAACTGAATAGCTAGTAAAAATATAAGCCGCCAAAAAGCTCCAAATGTAATAAGAAACCAAGCCAATGATTTCTACCTCCAGATAACATCAAACAAATAGTGGCACGATATCAGATTCAGAAGGTTAATTACTCCGGATATGAGTCTCATAAGCCAGTTGCCCCGCAAGAAGATCAACCACAGCAGTTCCAACGGACTTGAACACGGTGATCTCCTCTAGACTTCTCCTCCCAACCTTCACACCACTGGCCAAATCCACCAGCGTCCCTACCACATCCTTACGGGAAATAGCCCCTCTCTCGAAAGCGCCAACCAGCTCACCAGCCTCCGCCATGGCCGGCTCGAAATCAACAAACACTCTTCCTCTCACTAAAGCATCGTCGTCACACTCCCTCATCGTCGGGCTGAAAGAACCCACCAGGTCGAGATGCGCGCCCGGCTTAAGACGTCCTCCTTTCACAATCGGATCATGCGAACTAGTCGCGCAGCTCACCACATCACCGATTCCAAGCACAGTGTCCAATATTTCTACATGCTCGAAAACTACATTTCTTCCTTCTTTCTCCTCCTCTTCCTCCTTAAGCCGTTTTACAAGATCACGTGCCTTGGAAGCCGATCGGTTCCAAATGATGACCCTCTCGATCCCCGGGCGAACAAATCTGTGGGCACGTATGAGGTAAGGAGCGAGTGCGCCGGCGCCGACCATGACGAGAACGCAAGCATCATCACGCGCAAGGAAGCGTGCGGCGAGGGCGGAGACGGCGGAGGTGCGGAGGAGGGTGAGTTCCGTACCGTCGATGGCGGCTAGGGCAGCGCCAGTGGAAGAGCTGAAAAGGACGTAGGAGGCGGAGATGCCGGGGAGGCCGAAGGATGTGTTGTGGGGAAAAGAAGTGACCATCTTGACGCCGATGTATGGTAGAAGCAGTGAGGAGGACCAGGAGGGCATGAGGAGAAGCGAGGAGGAGGTTGATGGATCGATGGGGAAGCTTTGGCGAACGGGGGAGGTGACCACGGGGGCATGGGAAGGGAGGGAGGAGAGGAAGTGGGGTATGAGGGAGGAGGGTGGGATGAGGGAACGGAGGGAGGAGGCATCGAGGTAAGTGCAGCCACCGCCGATGGTAGCTCCGGCGGCCATTGTAGTACTTTAGCAGTGGCGTGGAGTTGATTTGGGAAGAAGGAAAAGGTCGTTGACGACCCGCAAGACAAATTTACGAATAATTTTACGTTTTACAGCACTTCCTTTAAACATAAATTTAGCAGCGGTAGGGTAACGAAGTCTGCTTTTAGTGTTGTACAAACGTTTCATCACACGCACAGATTAATGAAAAACAAGCGGTGGACTATAGAAATTTTAACATAGAAAATTCGTAACAGAAATACCACGAGGTCTGATCCAATTGCTCAAATTCACTATTAATTAATCATTACAGAAATATCTTGTCCCGCAGATGCGAAAGGGTAACTATATTTTTTAGATTACAATGTCGACTAATGTCGTCTGATTGATTATGATCAATGTTGGTTAGTGGTGGTCGATAACGGTTGGCAGAGGTTGACGACGGTCGGCGGTGGTCGATGATAGTCGGCGGAGGTCGGCGGTGGTCGACGACGATCGGTGGTGATGCTGAGTTGCAGTTTCTCCTTAAGGCGTCAGGCTCTCTCTCTAGACTTTCCTCCTCCCATCCGAGAGATGGAGCTCTATTTATAGTATTATGGGTGTAATTAATGCATAAATACAAATTATTTTGATCGGACGATCCAGAGAGCTTCCCTCGATCATATGGTGTTTAATGGATATTTGAGTACCTTAATGATGTCAGAATTGAGTGATCTTGGTTCGTTGGATTCGTCTTGTCGAGTCGCTTGAATTGAGTGTAAACTTACCATATTCGATAACCGTTTGACCTTCCAAATGTGTTCGGAAATCATCTAAGTGTGGTTCAATGGCTTGATATCGGCTTCGGATTGGGCTAGTTTTCATATTATTAAGTATGTCTCATCAAGTCGACCAGTTTGACTATAAGTTTGCTGAAATTGGAGTTCTTGATGACTTTTTATCAAAATTTGAACGTTTCCTGCTTAAAATATCGTCTTGAGATTCGTGCCCGATGATGAAAATTTGTTGGTGGCGTATCAGTTGTCCTCCTATTTTCGGGCGAGATAATTTTTATCATTCAAAAATATCAATATCAGGAGAATATATGTAATATATATATATATTACTTATTTAGCATAAGAATAATTTTATCCTTATATAAATAGAAAATTGAACCCAACTTAATTGATTAGCGTCTTTTGTTTCATGTGGGAGAGAGAGAGGCTTCAAATCCCGCTTAAAACAGAATAAATAATTTAAAAAAAAAAATTGAAGAGATTAAGGAATTTGAAGAGGAATTTGAATTCCAAAAAGAAGATTAATAGAATTTGACCCTTTCTTAATATGAAAAGTTTTTATTTATTATTATTTATTAGCATTTAATTCTTGCACATTTTTTTAGATTTTTATATTAATGTGCATTTATTGGCCAAGACTCTTTTTGAGCCTATAAATAGGGACCTGAAGGAGTGGGTAGAGGTGGAGTCCTCAGCTGATCTGAGATTTCCCAGAAGAAAAAAATAGTCCCGAGTAGCGATGAAAAGTTGCAGCGAAGAATTGCGGTGGTGCAGAGTTGCGATGAAGAGTTGTGGTGAAGAGTTGCATGGAAGCGTTGTGGTGCAGAGTTGCGGCGAACTGTTGTTGTGAAGCGTAGCGACAAAGTGTTGCAGTGAAGCATTATTGTGTAGTATCGCGAAAATGACGACAATTGGAGAACCCCGTTCTGCTGAAAACCAGAGGAAAAGTCACAAATCGGAGGATGTTGTGTCAACTTTGAAGGAGAGTGACTTGATCTTTTTTTGAAAGAAGTATTATTTCCCGAACTATATGGTGGTAAAATTGTCAACTTCAACTGATCGAGCGTATTTTCCTCCTTCTGGGTATGTCGTTATTCATGAGGCAGCCTTGAGAGCAGGCTTAAGCTTTTCGTCGGCACCTGATTTTATTGATATTATGAAGGCGTTCGGAGTTTGTGTTGCTCAGTTGTCTTGTCGTGTGGTGACAGTCATTATTGGGTTGACAGTTTTCTTTAGAAGTCACGGGTTGAAGTTAACAAGGGCAATTTTGGCATGACTGTGTGGGTTCTTTTTTGATACACATGCAGTGTGTTGTTTAAGCATAAGACATTGGATTTCCGCCTAAAGGAACCGATAAGACAATGGTCCGTAAGATTCTTCTTTGCAAAAAATGATTGGGGGCTCTGCGAAAGGTGAGGAAGGTTTCAACAATTGTCTGTCTTTCTTCAGACTACCGAAGATGAAATATTGCAGATGATGGGATTTCGTGACTTGACACAGTATATTTACGAATTTGTGAGTAAGGAATCATTGTTCAAGTTCAAGATTTCTTTCCATCCCGAGCGGTCAACAACTGTAGTGTTAAATAATTCTAAGAAGAGACATTCCAAGCTAGCCCTCGCAGAATCCTCAAAGCGGCTCCCAACGAGCAGTGAATGTGAAGTACTACCTCAGAAACAAAAGAAAGTTGAAACATCACGGGAGCCCTTGCCAAGCCCTTCAACTATTCACGTTCCTGAAAATATCTTTATTCACGTTCCTGAAAATATCTTGTCTCATGAATGTACTAGGCTCCTGGAAGCCGAGAGTTTTGTAAGTTTCTTTCATTTTCTGTTACTATATAAGTATTTCATCTCTCTAACTCATATTTCTTTTATTCTATGTGGATAAGATAGTGGAAATTCAGCAGGGACTGACATTGAGAAACTGAAACTTCGAGTTTGTTAATATCAAATATTTTCAATGTGAGTACAACCGTCAGTATGAATCTGGGGTTGAAACAATTACATCTCTGGAATCACAGTTGACAGAGTGCATGACAAAACTTTCAAAAATGGCAACCTCCCTCTCGTTGTAGCTTCATGATCTCGAGAAAACTCGGGAGGTTGGTGGAAGCACAAGCTAGTCTTCGTGAACGTAATAAGACCGTAAAAGCCCTTAAGTCGACGGTGTTATTGGAATATTTCGCCGCGTTACTTGATTTGGGGCTGTCTTATTCCAATAACATAGTGGAAATTGAAATTACACGGGGAATATGTCGAATAACACAGTCTCAAATCAAGTAACGCGAGGGAATATTTCAATAACACCGCAAAATAATTGAATAACATCATATAATACTGGAATAACACTTCATTTTTTACAAATAAAACAGATGAAATATTCTTGTAACACAGAGGGATATTCCTAATTATTGTAGTCCGAATGTAGCTCTACGTTTAGAGTTCTGATGTAATACTTTTCCCTGAAACGAAGCTTAAATAAGAGGAGTGCCTTCTAAATCATTCATTGAGTAATTTTATTTTAATTATACTTTAAAATTATTATATTTATTTTAATATTAGAAAGTAAAATTTGCATACTTCGAGGTTATAGTCGTTCCTCACAAGCTATTATTTCTATTAAAGGAACGACTACAACCTCGAAGTAGAATCACAAGCCCTTTCTATAATTTGACCTTCTTCTACAGTATAAAAGTTCGCTCTTTCTTCCCCATCTCAAGCATTCACTGTAGAATCGCAAGCCCTTTTATTTTCTCCTCCCCTTTTCAACATTCTTTCCCACCCTAAAATTCATAACATGTTTCTCTCCAAATCCATCACTCTCCTGAATTGGTCTCCTACTCTAATAGGAATGAATTCCTATTTAGCTTATATCTTTGCTTTTTACTCTTTCTTCAACTCCATGGATACTTAAACTCTAGAGCTATATCTCAAGGTGCAGGGAGTCACTCAAATTGAGAGAAATTGCAACCTACGGCAAAATTAGTGAACTGAAAGGTCTCATAAATGCTTGTCAGGAATGGCAATGAGTTTTCACTATCCTGCAACATGACAATTAGTGAAGATTTTTTTCTCTGTGCTAAGTGTTGGTGTTGATGGTTTATAATGGAATTTGGTGCTAGTTGGGTATGATGTAGGGAAAGTGTCATATTATGGTTATTTTTAGGCTACAACAATAAAGATTTGAAAACTCAAAGGAATTTTTGAGATTTTGGTTAGTTTGGATGGATCAATTTTCAAATTGGACAAACTAATGACAACCAAATTCTGTAATTTGAAAAAAAGAACTAAGATGACTGAAAGAACAGTTCAATTATAAAGAAACTAAATTAAGTTATTTACATATAATCAAGTCAAAGAGAGAGTTTGGTTTAATTGGACAATGCTACAATCAAAGTTGCTGCTACCATGCTCTTGCAAGCCTAGAATTTCTACTCTCTCACACACAACATACATATTGCTTGGTGATACATGGGTAACTTGCGGTTATCTCTAACTTACAATTCATATATGATGATGTGTTACTCATGATGAGACTAACATTCACCTCTCAATTTCAGATATATCTTTTATGTTATTAACTAATATGCATAAAATTAATAATTCATTATCAACTTGACGCCAATAAAATAGAAAATTTAGTATAACAACACTATAACTTCACACTGTAGCACCATCTTCTTCGTTACTTGATAATGCCATAGTATGGCGACCTTAACGAAATAATTTAGAACTAGTTTTTGAAAGGGATTGGAAAAGTTATGGTGGTATGTTTTGGGAGGTTATGGGATTAATGCAAAAAAGGAGGATTAATTCTAATGAGGGCTTGAGCTGAAGGAAGTGTAAGTAAGAGTGCAGAGAGTGGATTGTATGTTCTGAGAGTGAAGTGTATAGCAAAGGAGTAGGGGTGTAAACGAGCCGAACACGTGTTCGGCTCGTTTATATTACGAGCTCAAAAAGTATGTTCGTGTTCGGCTCGTTTGCTTAACGAGCCGAACAACAGCTCTTCCCG